CTTCCGCTGCCTCCACACCTGTCTCGAGTCGCCCTGACACATCCACAGTTACTTCACCAAGTTTTGACATCACCAAACATGTTAAACTAGTACCTCCGTTTCGGGAGGCTGAGGTTGATTCCTATTTTAACGTTTTTGAGCGTATAGCAGCTGCATTGAGTTGGCCTAAGGAGTTTTGGGCGCTGCTACTCCAGTGTAAGTTAATCGGCAAGGCTCAGGAAGTATGTACTAGCCTTTCCATTAACGACAGCCTCCAATATGATATTGTAAAAAAATCAATTCTGCACGCATATGAATTAGTTCCTGAAGCTTACCGTCAGAAATTTCGTAAAAGTGAAAAGACCGCTGAACAAACCTTTGTGGAGTTTGCCCGTGAGAAACATCGCTTGTTTGAACGCTGGATGCAAGCCAGCAAAGTGAAGGATATTGAGGCATTGAAGGAGTTGGTTCTTTTAGAAGAATTTAAAAAGTGTCTCCCGGATCAGTTGGTAGTTTATCTAAATGAGCAGAAGGTGATGTTCCTGGCAAAAGCAGCAGTTTTAGCAGATGAATTCACCCTCACACATAAAGTCATTTTTCCAACCGGGGCAGGATGAGAAGTGAGGGGAGGGCAGGAAAAGAGACAAAAATCTCCTAAACAGACCCGAAGGGCGAGACAGGAGGAAACTAAAAAGCGGGAATGTTTTTATTGCCTTGAGTCTGGTCACCTGATCGCCAGTTGTCCTGCGCTGCAGAAGAAAGAGCAGTGCAGAGGGTCTAAGGGACCCGTGGGGCTCATTAAAGTAGTTTCCCCACCTATCGGTCCTGATCAGATGCAGGGGTGTGACCCAGAAATGGAGGTAGAGTCACGTTTTAAACCCTTCCTTTCCCAAGGCTTCGTTTCGGTGGCAGGAGAAGAGAAGGACAGGGTTCCTATCACCATTCTCCGAGGCACATCAATCTTTTATGTTAGATGATGTGTTGCCACTGTCGGATAAAACCGCCTGCCACACGGATGTGTTGGTGTGGGGAATTGTTCTTCGGGCGCCCCTTCACAGAGTATATCTACACTCACCTATCACAACTGGACCTGTGAAGGTCGCCATAAGACGACAGTTGCTGTTTAAAGGTGTGTCGTTTATCTTGGGCAACGATTTGGCCGGGGGGGAAGTGTTTCCACCGCCTGAAGTGATGGATACACCTGTTGCTGCTGATCCAAAAGCGACAGTTTTTTCCCGTTTGCGCTGTTACGCGGGCGGAAACGCACAAATTTGCTGATGTGGTTAGTATCGCAGATACGTTTGTGGCTGGGGAGCAAAAACCTCCTGTACGGGAGAAAGACAGTGTGGGGGATAAATGCAGTGTGCTAAAATTAATACCGGCATTGAGCAGCGATGTGAATAAAGAAGCTTTGGTAAGCGCTCAGGAAAATGACAAGTCTTTGAGTTCCTGTTTTGCAGCCGTTGTCACGGCTGGGGAAAGCACCCTTCCCCGTTTTTTCCTGCAGGATGGCGTGTTAATGAGGCGGTGGTCTTCTGATCAGAGTGGAACATCAGGTGTTACACAGGTGGTGGTACCATCTCAGCATCGTGATCAGGTGCTAAGCTTAGCACATGACGTCGGCATGGCTGGGCACCTCGGAATAAATAAAACTTATTACCGAGTGCTGGGCAATTTCTTTTGGTCTGGCCATGTAGTGTACCTGACTATGTGAGTCAGCTTCGAGATAGGCTTCGCCTAGCGTGGAAAATAGCCGGGGAAAACTTAAAGCAAGTGCAAACTAAAATGAAGGCTCGTTTTGACAAAAAAGCTGTGGATAGAAGTTTTCAACCAGGGGAGAAGGTGTTGATGTTACTGCCTGTGGTAGGGTCCAGTTTACTAACACAGTTTGCTGGTCCTTACAGTGTTGAATGTAAACTCGACAATAACCATTATGTGATTCGCACTCCAGATCGGCAGCGAAAAACCAGGGTTTGTCATGTGAATACGTTGAAACTGTTCTATCCCTCCAAGTACCAACCAAGTCATTGGAGCGGGGGGGCTGGGAGGAGATGTTAGCTGTCCGATTGGCCTCCCTGCTGCTGCGGAGCCTGGGACGGTCTGCTTGCCTCCACCCCGGGGGGAAGGGTAACATCTCTTGGGTCTGGGTTCTGTTTCCCCCTCTGGGGGCGAGGGTACCTGGACCCGGGGTATAGAGTATGTTTGGGGAGTGTGATTGTGTGTACATGTCCATTTATGTCAATCCTTCCGTTGGGTGAGTGCTGAGTGTTTGTATATGTGTGCATGAGGGTGGGAATGCATGTTTGTGTCTGTGTGTGCCTGTTTGTCTGTGTCTATATGTCAGGTCGGGTCTTAGACTCCACCTCTCTGGGAACTCCCAGGCCCTCCAAGGCCTATCTCCCCTCACCACACTCCCTGCCGGTGACTGATGCCCTCAGGGGTCGGTGCATTGGTGGTTCTTGGTGTCCGGGGCTGGGCGCTCAGGTATGTACCGGCTCACTCCCAGTGGCTACCTGGCGGGGCCTGGCGCCTGTTGCTCAGTCAGGCCTCCTCCGGGGTGCGGGGGGCCCTCAGGCCTCCGGCCTCTGGGCCTGCGGCTCGGTTCACTCTGGCACAGCTGGCTGCCGGCAGAGCCAGCGGGCACGCCGGTGCAGCCCCCTCTAGCTTCTGCTCGGTTGATACTGGGTGACGCCTCGTCTGGGGAATCTCAGCCCTTCCCATGAGGGTGGCACGGATGCCCCTCCGGTGGTCCTCTTTGGGCTCTCGTGCTCTGGGAGCCTCTGGATGTCTGGGGCCTGGATCTCCTCCATGCCTGCTTCATGCCCTGGGGGACAGGGCTATGGCTCGCTACATCCTCTTGCAGACCATTACATGTGGAAACCATTTGAAAACAAGCGCGCTGATCCACACAGGTATGCACACGGGTGTTCACTGCTCGTAGACTTAAATTACACCTTTCTTGGCTGCTACTTCAAAGCACATTGTGCGCTGTCTGTCCTGCGTGCTGCACAGCAACTTTGAATATTCAGTATTTACTGCTGTTTACACCTAGCTAGATTAATGCGATGGTGTTGTGTTTAGTATGTTGCTTTGTTGTGGGTTTTTTTTGCTTGTTTTCTATTCTTCTTTTCTCAACAGGTGATCCAGCAGATTTTTTTTCTCCCCCCCTTTCTCACTGTCCCTCTCCCCTTCTGTTTTTCTTTTCCTTCCTCTTTCTTTCTCCCTTTCCTATCCCTCACTCATGTCTGTCCCGTCTGTAACATCTGAAAATAAAATATAATAAACAATAAAAACAAAGGTCAATCAAATGGACCAATACGGCAATGCCACGATGATCCATTTGGCAAAGTAAATCCATTGGGTATATTTGTTGGTCTTCAGACAACAATTCTGATGGCTAAAGAACCAAATGGGACAGGCAAAAAAAAAAAAAGAAACTGTTCTATCCCCGTAAGCAAAATACAACAGCGCCCCGGTGTGCGCTGTTGCCATCCTCCCCGCCTACAAACTGTCGGATGACGGATTATCTGGGAGGGATGATGCTGCATTAGGAAGTGGGCTGAAAAATTCAGTAATTTTAAATGATCTTGAATCATTTGTTGCCGATTTACCTGAAACTGCTCAAACTGATATCATTACTGTTGGGGGAAAACTCTGTAAAAAACCCAGGAGAAATAAAGACACAAGGAGACAAGGTTACTTTTTATGCTTTAACGTGAACACGGGTGAGCTGCTGAGAACAACTCACGTCGTGAACAGAGGCTTGGCACTTTTTATAGAAAAGACAGTGAGAACAGGATAAGAAAAATAATAAACAGATAAAATAAACAACTCCATATGTGGCGCTAGTCTCGTCAGCAGAGAGCTGGGAGAAAGCTGTGAGATAAAACAATCTAAAACAATATGTCCCAAAACAATATGTCTTTGCTGGGAAAGTCTAAAAGGATAATTCTAAACTAATCTAACCATAGACAAAGGGCATCTTTGTACATTTAAAAGAAGGTAAAGAAACATAGAATCATTTTTCCTGTAACAATTACTCTGACAAAAAATAACTTTTCTCTGATCACCAGCGTCAAACGACTGTCTTAAGTCATGACATTGATGTGGAGGGGCATAAGCCAACAACATGCGTACCGGGTGAATCCAGTAAAAAGGGAAATAATGCAGAGAGAAGTCAATTACCTCCTTGAGCATGGCTTAGCCGTTCCAAGTGCTAGCGCATGGAGCTCCCCATGTGTGTTAGTGCCCAAATCTGACAATACTCCTCGATTCTGCACGGATTATCGAAAGGTGAATGCGGCCACTAAAGCAGACTCTTTCCCATTACCTAGGATGGATGACTGTGTTGATCGG